AGGGCTTTCTGCCGGAAAGCCAATGCGGCTTCCGTCGTCATCGTGGGACCACGGATATGATCTTCGCCGCCCGCCAACTTCAGGAGAAGTGCCAGGAGATGCGGACCCACCTGTACTCTACCTTCGTGGACCTTACGAAAGCCTTCGACACGGTGAATCGTGAAGGACTGTGGAAGATCATGCAGAAATTCGGCTGTCGGAGCGATTCACTCAGATGGTGCGTCAGCTGCACGACGGTATGATGGCGCGAGTCACGCACAACGGAGCTGTCTCAGAGGCATTCGCAGTGACCAACGGAGTGAAGCAGGGCTGTGTGCTGGCACCAACCCTCTTCAGTCTCATGTTCTCTGCCATGCTGATGGACGCCTACCGCGACGAACGCCCCGGGATCCGCATCGCCTACAGGACGGACGGTCGTCTCCTAAATCAACGGCGCATGAACTTCCAATTGCGTGTATCCACAGCCACCGTGCACGAACTCCTCTTCGCCGACGACTGCGCCCTGAACACCACCTCCGAAGCGGAGATGCAACGCAGCATGGACCTATTCTCCGCCGCCTGCGAGAACTTTGGGCTGGTTATCAACACGCAGAAGACGGTGGTGATGCATCAACCGCCACCCAACTCAGTCACAGCCCCCAACGCGCCGCAAATCAGCGTGAACGGGACCCAACTGCAAGTGGTGGAGAACTTCCCGTATCTTGGCAGTACCCTCTCCCGCAACACCAAGATTGATGACGAAGTCGCCAACAGGATCTCGAAGGCCAGTCAAGCCTTCGGTCGCCTCCGAAGCACAGTCTGGAATCGCCACGGTCTCCAACTGAGCACAAAGCTGAAGATGTACAAGGCCGTCATCCTGCCGACGCTACTGTATGGAGCGGAGACTTGGACGGTGTACACGAGACAGGCACGCCGACTGAACCACTTCCACCTCAGTTGTCTCCGTCGCATCCTGAGGCTGAACTGGCAGGACCGCATCCCCGACACCGAAGTGCTGGAACGGACGGGAATTCTGAGCATCTACGCCATACCGAGACAAATGCAGCTGCGCTGGAGCGGCCACCTGGTGCGCATGGACGACGAGCGACTACCCAAACGACTCTTCTACGGAGACGTCGCGACGGGTTCTCGCCGTCAAGGAGGCCAGATCCGCCGTTACAAGGATACCCTGAAGTCCTCCCTGAAGCGCCTGCAAATCAACCCGGCCAACTGGGAAGAGCTCGCTCGCGATCGTCCGACATGGAGGAGAACAGTGAAGACGGGCGCTGCTGTCTATGAAGCCAACCGAATCGCCTCCGCCAAAGCGAAACGCGAAGCCCGCAAATCACAACTTCGCCCAATACGCAACGCCGCCGCACAACCTCTCCCTACGTGTCCTCGATGTCAACGGACATTCCGGGCACGAATCGGACTTTTTGGACATCTCCGAACCAACTGCACCTCTCGAACTGCTCCAGCCATCGTCCCCCCGCCCGCCTCTTCCTCGCCCTCTCTGCCGCCAACTAACTCTGACACTCCCTCTGCAACACCACTTCCATCCCCCTCCACTGCCCCAGCGGCGGCCGTTCAGACTGCCGTCTCACACATCACCAACCCCGACACAACAACCGACATCACTACCCACACCTCTCCCGATTCCAGTGATGAGGATCAGGACTACACCTGCCCTCACTGTGACCGCACCTTCACCTCACACATCGGCCTGGTCGGTCACTTGCGAATCCATCGCACAGAGACTGGCGAACCAGTGCCTGGAGCACCAACCTACACCCACCGCACTCGCCTCCACTGCCCACAATGCCCTCGCACCTTCACTCATCGCATGGGTCTATTCGGCCACATGCGCATCCACGAGAGCGGAATTGACCGCAGCCTTGACACATCCACCCCGCCGAGCCCCACTCCCAATCCACCACCTTGTGCACCCACTAATTACTCCCCAGCCGACATCGACGCCACCGACCTTACCACCCCTCACTCCTCCCCTTCCTCCTCCTCTTCCTCCTTCACTGCCACAACGACGGCCGCTTCGACGTCTGTCGCCCACGACTTCACCACAGCCGAACCTGACACAACAACCGGCACAACCCCTGCAACCTCCATCATCAGACGTGAGGGCCAGGACTACATCTGCCCTCACTGCGATCGCACCTTCACCTCACACATCGGCCTGGTCGGTCACTTGCGAATCCATCGCACAGAGACTGGCGAACCAGTGCCTGGAGCACCAACCTACACTCGCCGCACTCGCCTCCACTGCCCACACTGCCCTCGCACCTTCACGCATCGCATGGGTCTCTTCGGCCACATGCGCATCCACGAGAGCGGAATTGACCACAATTCCGATACAGCCACGACATCCAACACATCCACCACGCCCAGACCAATCCTCGCTCCACCGTCACACGCGCCGACCACCACCACCAACACCACTGCTTCCTCTACAGCTGACACCGTCACCGCCGACCTCTCATGCCCACACTGTCCACGCACCTTCACCTCACGCATAGGCCTGGTGGGTCACTTGCGAATCCATCGCACAGAGACAGGCGAACCAGTGCCTGGAGCACCAACCTACACCCACCGCACTCGCCTCCACTGCCCACACTGCCCTCGCACCTTCACGCATTGCATGGGTCTATTCGGCCACATGCGCATCCACAACGACCTGCGGTAGACAACCGCCGGTCACACCACACATTCCCTCACTCCCTACCTCCTAACACCATCACCCCACCAGACATCAACCCCCACACACCTCATGCACCCAACTGCCACCTCCCACGCAAGTGGGAAGTGTGCATCTCGACTCGGTCCCCATGCGGTTTCGGCTGCACGGGTGACTTGTGTCCGAGACTATCCCGACACGTCAAGTGTCGTGGATAGGAAGGTTGCTGATTGAGGCCCGCTATCGGTTCGCGCAGTTCGTCACGTTGTGTGTGTGTTGTGTGTAGTGGCGGACTGGTGGGCTGGGGATGGGCTGAAGCAGCACCTTCCACGGCCCTCTCACGCAAGTGGGAGACACGCCGTTCTACCCCCGTTGTGTGAAATCCTGGTGTTTGTGTGTATGGGGGCCAGGTCGTGCTGTGGCGCGCGCAGACATGGTCAGTCGACCATGTCAGCCACCGCGCCCATTCCCCACTCCAGTCTACTGACCGGCTCGGACAGTGGCTGGGGTGTGGGAGTGGGAAGGGAGAGTGAGGTCGACGACTCAGCGCATTTTCCTCACTATAATCAATCTGACGCGCTTGAAGCTATCACGGTGCGCTAAAAGCCGTGGCTTGGAAGGTTGCCAACTGACGGGGTACCTTGGACCTCCTCCTTAACGGGAGGCAGTCTGAGAGTCAGGCTGCAATGGCTCCTTTTTAATGTGGCCTTTATGGCATTCCCACCACAGTGTGAGATCCGAGCCAGGCGTTGGCGGCACGCCCAGGTGCGGCTTCGGCCGTGCCAGCCTCCAAATCTCTGTTGTGTTGGTTGAAATCCTGGTTATTGTTGTGTGGATCAGGTGAGGATCCGTCCAAGCCATCCACCTGCGGCCTCCCTCGTCTCCGGTCTTCTTGACTCTGTCTTGACACCGGGCCCAGGCGGGGGAGGAGGAGAGAGTGTAGGTAGATGCTACGCAAGTCTACTGGCACTATAAACCCCTGCGTAAGTCACCGTCCCTGCTCCCACAATGCAGTCTGTGGGGCACACGGTGGTCATCGTCGAAATCGACGGACGAACTGTCGTGTGTGTGTGTGTGTGTGTGTGTGTGTGTGTGTGTGTGTGTGTGTTATTACTGCACTTCAGAACAGCTAATCGCACAGATGTGCTAATATGACAAGACACGATCTAGTCTATCAGCAGTCTTTTTTGGCGCGAAGCGTTCCGATCGGCTCGACGGTGGGAACCTTTGCCCTTCGAGAGTCGTCTGCACATGCGCAGATTCGATCTCTGCACAGGTGTCTCGACAACAATGTGCTGCCGAAGTGTGTTTCATACAAACCACCGATCAATACAGAGCTGGCGAGACGCGCAGTACTTCAGCCTGTCCGAAAAATGATCCGAGTGATTCATCTTCAGCATAGGCTGGCCGAATGAACACGCGAACATAAAGCGACACAACTTGACGTCAAAGGAGCTGACGGAGGAACAAATGCAGGTTTTACGGCATGAGGCCTCATTCAACGCAACCGATGCCAAACCTGCCAACATGAGTGCAGCAGTGGAATCAATCCTCAGCTAGAGGGGAGCGGTAGACGCAACGAAGAACCTCATTCGACACCAAGTGTCCTCCCTCCTCATTGTTCATAGGCCGCGCAACGTGCTTTCCAAGGTCGAGCACGATGCACTTAAGGAACTCGGGGCGACAACGACCTCGTTATCGTGCCTGCGGACAAGGGGCGTTCAAAGGTCGTATTGGAAAGGACAGACTACAATCAAAAGCCAAAAGCTTGTAGGAGGATCGTCAGTCCTATGCCCCATGCGAATCCAACCCCATAAAAACGCTGACGCGCGAGATTAACGCGAAACGGCTGGAAATGGAGAACTCGGGTGCAATATCGCCAATTGACCGACGCATGGCGAGAGCACAAGAAACGGCCCCAGCCCGATTCTACGCTCTCCTAAAAGTGCACAAAGAGGGCGCTCCTCTCCGGCCTATCGTATCATTAAAGGACACTCCAACCTACGGACTGGCAAAGTGGCTCTTCCAACGTCTTAAGTTTCTGACCTCAGATTCGAGCACCACAGTCAGCTCGTCAACGCAATTCTTGGAGAAACTTAAAAGAGTTAGTCTCCTGCCAAGCGATGTCATGGTTTCCTGTGATGTCACGATCCTTTTTACTTCTATCCCGCAGGACCTGGCAGTCAAGATCATCGAACTACTCCTTCGAGGGAAATACAACTAAACGGAAAATCGCCTCGGACACACCCAAATCATCTAGCTTCTGAAGTTCTGTCTCAGGACGTACTTAACTTTCGACGGAACAATCTACGAGCAGGTGAGGAGAACGCCAATGGGTTCGCCGATTTCGGGACTCATAACCGAGGCGGTTCTAAAACAGCTGGAGTCGCTGGTTTTCCGACACCTCAGACCGAAATTTTGGGCTCGATATGTGGACGACACCTTCGTCGTCATCGAACGGGATCAGGTGCTAGAATTTAAAGAACATCTCAACGCAGTCTTCCCGGACAATCGATTTACGAAGGAGGAGGAGGAGGAGGAGGAGGAGGAGGAGGAGAAGGAGGAAGAGAAGGAGGAGGAGTAGGAGGAGGAAAGCAGCCAGCTGGCCTTCCTGGATGTCCTCGTCTGCCGCAAAGTTTGTGGGGGCCTAAAAACCAAAGTGTTCAGGAAAGCGGCAAATACGACGCAAATAATTAACTTCAATATCAACCACGCGATCAATCATAAACGCAGTTGTGTAAGGGCGCTATACCGGTGCGTTGAGACGCACTGCAGTGAAATGGAAGACAAGGTGGCTGAATTACAATATTTTCGACGGGTACTGAGAGCCAATGGTTATCCGCGCAACTTTGTCAACCAGTGCAAACGAAAAGGACGCCAGAGACCAAATCCAACCGACCCCAGATTTCGGCGGACTCTTCCGTACGTGAAGAACGTCTCGGAAGCCGTCGGTCGTTTTTTCAGTCCACTTGGAGTTGGCGTTGCCCACAGGCCGGAAGCAACCATTAGGCGCCAAGTCATGAGGAAAAAAGACCCGCTACCACGGCAGGAAACGTCCGGAGTCGTTTACCGGATCTGGTGTATTTGTGAACAAAGCAACTATGTCGGAGAAACTGGGAGGTTACTCTGTACGCGAATTGCCGAGCACACAGCATATTTCTAAGTTTCAATAGGCCGAAATCCTCGCATGAGGTGACAACCGCGTGAGCCTCGAACTGCTCTAGTCATGGTAATCAGACCCACAATCCATCAACAAGCACAATGACCTCCTGGTAACTTATTCCGTGCTGAGATTTTCCCCGGACAGGGGAATCAGTCACGTGAGGAGGGCGCGGGCGAGCAATTATCACGGTGACAGTGGGCCAATTTGCCGAGCAATCGTCACACCAGCATCCAGCACGGATGATGGAATCACGGCCATTAACGACTCGGACTCTGACTGGCAAGCCATCACCGCATCAATAACGACCCCAGCGGTGATTGAGAGAACTGTTAATTGCAGTGTGCTTACGGTCCTACGGCAGCCACGTGCTATAACTGCTGCACTCGCTGGGTCACATCACCTTTATCCGCGAATGTCTCTGATGATGGATTGGAGTGAGAATCCGAAAAGTCAGACCAATAAATTTCTTGTTCCAGTGATCGTATCTTCGTCTTTTGGTCTTATAATTTCTAAAATTCGATAACACATATGCTTCTTGCAAAAAATACCTTTGCTTTAAAAAGATGATTTCCACAGTTTGCCTCAGACGAGACATCAATTTTCATGTCCGGTAGCCGCTGTTTATTAAAACTCTGGAACGCTAACTACTCTGCTTTTAATGAAAAACACGCTAGATGCTCCACTTAAGCCCGGGACAAGCATTGGCATAAAAAAATTGTCCAAATGTACCGCAACGTCCATTTGCGCACGAATTTATGAATATTTCGTTGGATAAATTTTTCGATCAGGAAAAATTATCATTTAGTTTCGAAAGCGTTTCTGCAACCCCAGGATAATTTTGAAACTTGCCTGCCGTTGCACTACTATTCGGGGTTTGCAAATTACCACCTCTATACTTTCCATGTAAGGAAAATTATACAAACCCATATTCTAGTGAGAAGACCTTATATGGTGGTCATAACCTTTTGTTATGGATGCCGACCATGTTCTCCAGTTTATAAACAGAATTGTGAACCCGTTGATGCGATGCCGCATGACCGAAAATTTCATAATCTGAAAAAATTCATAATTAAAACCTATTTTAAGACCAAAATAGACTCTTCCTCCAAATTTTAAATTGTAAGGTCTGATTCGTAACCATTGGAGAACAGGAAAGAATATTTTTGTTTATGTTTTTCATAAATTATATTCACATTTATAAGGCCATGGAAAATCAGTGGGGAAATTTATACCATTTATGTTGTAGTTTTTTACAAATCATAATTCACGCAAGCGGCCAAAAAGACGGTCTGTCACAAGACGGCATCCACTCGTGACTGAAATATCTTGGGAGTATGCAGCACGATAAGGTAGACTACAACGCCACTAAAGTAATTTTTTCAAACTGAAAACACAATTTGGAATTTTAGTGGGCATTTAATCAGATAGCACATCTACTGTAGACCTCTGTTGGGTTCTCGGAAGCTAATTCTTTAGACGCGAGAGGTGTAAAATCACAGTTGGTAAGCGTTACGCAGCGTGCAAGTCTAAGAAAAACACTCCCGGTGCTAGAATATTAGTTAATACATTCTGCGGTCGGCCGTCAGAAATTTTATTACTTTCACACTTTTCGGTTAAGGAAAGTTTGTTTGATGCAATTGTATCAACTGAGATGTCGGGTGTCAGCATAAATTACTCGAGTTCTTTTCTCTGGACCTTTTCACACTGTTTTTTGCGATAGAGTTTCATCGGCGCTAAGGAGCCCTTTAGAGGTCATCCACGAAATAGAATTTCGATCTTCGAATTCAAAATAATATGGCGAAAATATATTTTGCTTTGCCTTCGGTTGTTGATTTATCGGGCGTACTTATAAACCTGTGAAGAGCACTTTACTAAAAGATACAATTAGGAAAAGAAAAGCAAATAGGCAAAACTAATTTATCCAGAAATTTTAGAGCAGACATTTGGTTGGTTTAAATCATTTAAGAGTTATCTATGAGAGTCTAAACCGCCACAGACTGGCCAATTGGTTGTGCAGATGACTGCCTTCGGCGAAATGAAGTTTAGTGGATGGAAGTACTTCTATTGGCTTGTAGATACTTGGCAAGTACCCTTGGGCTTCGTGAGAATCTGCAAGGTCTTTGTTTTAACTTTTCGTAATTGTAACAGCCAAACATTAATTTTTGGTCAACTGGACACGCCAAAAGAAAATCTGCTATTAAAGTGACTTCGTTTCTTCTCCACAACCATAGTACTTTTAGGCATAAACTCTGCTACCTGGCTAAAGCGTAGGGTGAAAATGTTATTGGCTTCTGGAATCGAAGGGGAAATTATTTTTCGCTTGTTGATCCAATGCACGTGAATTAATATATCAGACCGGTTTAGAAAAAGACACCAGACATTTTGAACTCTCTGCGTTTATAAAAAAACTATCCTCTTTTGCCAATTTTAGAAAAGACTCCTAAAGACCAGTGTCAAAGCGAATAAAGTGCCCTAAAGATTTTATCTTCTAACTGGTTTTTAACAATATGCTATATTAAGCGTACTCTTTTCACCTACCGTGTCAACTTGAAAGGCGATAGTGTACCTTTTGAAGTGTTTAGACATGACTCGATGCTTACGGTGTCATGACCCAAGCATAGTGAAATCAAAAGAAACGTAGTGCCTTAGACAATATTTCGAGGGTATTGAGACTTTCCGTTCAATGCGATGGACCTTCCTGCAGCACGAAATATCACCAGCTTTAAAATGAAAGAAAAGGACCTTTTCTTTCCAAATATCGTCCGAAGTATTGTTTTGCATAACATGCAGCGACTGTAGCAAGATTCGCCTTATTGACAGCACGGGCGATATTTAAATGCCTAGGCATGTTTTTTGCTGGGCTGACATTCAGCCAAATGTAGAGGGACGCTAAAGATTACCTTGATGGTCTGAACCCCTCGCAGCTGTGTTATGAAGCAGCGGAATGTCAACAAAATAGGCATCCGGATTTTTGGCTAGTACAGTAGGTGGCCTAACTCATGAAATGTCAACCGAAATTCCGAAATGCGTTTTCGTTTCGAAAAGAGTATTTAAGTAGGGTTGAAAAACCAATCAACGTACCACATAATTCAGTATGTCAACTTTCGAATAAACCCTCTGTACAAAAATGACGACTCGAGTAGCGGACATTTTTTCATTGATTTTCGACGTCCTTAGAAAGTCAATTATATTTCGTATAAAGCATGCGTAAAAATATGCTTTCGTTTGCTCATTCGGTAGAAATGGACGTCTTCTTTCAATTTTATGTTCGAAAAAGGGTTTAATTCGGCTTCAAAAACTATTCCAATTCCCGAATAACTTTGAACTTGACCTGCCGTTAAAAATGCATTCAAAGTTTCCAAACTACACTTTTTCGTCGACTTGGATGCTACCCGGGTAGGTGAAGGTGCCTGCGGCTTGCAGTTGGCGACTTTGGTGTTGATGTGAGATGTATCGTGGACGGCGATGGGTGGAATGCAGTGATTTGTCCTGGTATGGGGTGTTGCGCGTGGTGTGGTGTGGGTTCAAATGTGGAATAGGGCGTTAGTGTGGGCAGATAGGGCAAGGCGTGATGAGGGGATCTGGAATTCAGTTTTGTCGAAGAATTGCATGCATGTTCACATGGTCGGATAGACCTATGCGATGACCGAATATTTTTGTGTAGTGTTGGCAGATGCAGCAACTGCGAAGGGTGTGCATTAGGGATCCTAGTCAAGGTGCGCCAGTTTCGGCCAAACGGATTTGCAAGTTCCGATCGGGCCGATCGGGACGCTGGTGGTGTTAGGGTTGGCTCTTTTTAGAGGCACAACTCACACACACACACACACGATAGTTCGAAGGTCGTCGCCGACAATGTCCACCATGTGCACCGCAGCATGGTCAACGCAGGGATTTGTATTTACTGTTATCAGATGAAAGATCACGAACTGTGAACCTAAATCGCTGTAGCGCACGTAATGCCCACCCCGCATCCACGAAAGTTATCGTGCGTTAAAGATACGACAGAGCTTCAAAATAAGGCACAGTTTGATTTACATAGTATCATCTATTGACTAAGAAATAATTTATTTTAGGAAAAACTACCAAATCAAAAAACGACTCTATGACAGGTTAACTAATCAAGGCCTAAAATAACTGCCAACAGAGAAGGGAGACGTCATAAAACGACCAAATGATAAAAAAGTAACAAATACAACGTATCAGTACTTTGTAGATTGTCCTTTAGCTTTCGAAGTTGCCGTAAGGTGAGAGGACATGGAGACTACCAAGTTGTTTAAGGTGGTTTGAGCTATGTAATTATAAAACAAAAATTCCGACTTTTGTTCCACAGAAAGACGATTTCTTGCCTTATCCTAATTTCTTTTGATTAGTGCAAAACGTTTGTTCATGGGATTTGGGTCCGGGCTGTTAGCGGGAATAAA